GAGAGAGAATTTTTTTCAACATTTATTTTTTAGTTCTCGGCGGACACAACATCTTTGTTGGTATGTGGTGCTGAGGATCGAACCCGGGTCGCAAGCATGCCAGGCGAGCGCGCTACCGCTGAGCCACATCTCCAGCCCTACAATCATTTTTATTTCTACTCAGGAAAAGATACAAGTTAACAGGAAAAGCTTTTATTGATTTGAGATGTAATGTGGCTGTTCAAGTACCAGTATAGGTATTTGATATTGCTAATCTCAAGAATAGAAGAAAAGAGTCTTAATATCAGATGAAATCAGTGACAGATGGGCTTGAGACTCCATAAGAAGCCCCTATGGGTGTCCCTTGGTAGAGTAAAATGCGATGCTACAGGTTGGTGAAAACACTCTCAGAAAGCCAAAGCCTCAGGAGCAAAACTCAGATTTTGGTTGTACTGTTGTAACAGGAAAGAATTAAAGATTTTTAGTCTTTTGTTATCTTCTCCTCTTTAAAATAAACTACATATATATGTATTTATGTATATGTTTGTATAGACAGATGCATATAAATATAGATATAATTATATAATTAATTTATTTAATGTGTGAGAGGATAATTCTTGAAATGTGATAATATTCTCCTTTTATGAAATACAAATTCTCATGAGTATCTATTATGATTTTAGAAAATTTTCCAGTATACATCAGTCTAATTTGTTCAACTCATGACTTTTATACATATACTTTTTTTATATACACTGTCTTATCTTGAACAATAGTTCTAGAAATCTAGTTTATTTTATGATATATTAATGAAACAGAAATGTATGCTAAGTATTTTTAATTAAATTAAAACTTTTAAAAATACAGAAAATGTATGGGAGAGAATATTAATACTCTTTAAAATAACAACAAATGATATCTGATTTTATTTTCATCCAGCATTTTTCTACATATATATTTTTATTTTCAAATGTTTCTATCATGTCATATATACACATTTATATAAATTACTTTCCTTTTTCAACATAATGTTTGACTGAACATTTTTGTATGTTATTCTAAAACTCATTGATTTATCATTTAGATAAAATTGTCACTTTAATTATTGTAAATAATTTTATGTTAGGAGTACTTTTGTCTCTTTACTATCTCTTTTGTATAGGCTTTGCAATATCTTATATTGATTTAGTCTTTAATAATTTAATTGTCAAGTGCTATATTCTGGTTTGTAGTTGGTGCTTTTTGGTTATGAGCCAAGCAACCTACTCATAATAATCAATGTACAGGCAATTTTCTATGGTAATGCAGTCATAGTGCAAAGGGAGGAAAACTCTGGATGGTAAGAAGAACTGTAATTTGCCAGAGCTTGCATAATTACAGCTGTGGGAGGCCTGGAATCTAAATACCTCATGAGTCCTCAAAGCAGGAGCTCATAGATTTTGCATTTAATGCTGGATTAACCTGACCCAGCAGCTTACTGGGTCTGTTCCTTTCTGTGGTCAACTTCAGCAATTCAGAATATTTCATCTACAAGCAACAGAAAACTCTTATAAAGGTTCCTTAAATTACAAAAACTTCCATTTATTTCATATAACTGGATATTTGACATAATTGGTTTTAGGCTACTACCCTTAGTATGCCAGAGGACTTAGATATGAATAGTCCACTATTTGAGCAGGGAAAGGGGTACTAATTGTTAGCATTATTTAGAATTGCCAGTATAGGATGATGATAATAATAAATGGGTTGTTAATGTATTTATTTCATTATTATTTCTAAATTCTCTATATATAGTGCGCCCCATTGTTTTCTATATCTAGGGTAGATTGCTCCCACTTTTCTGCACTTTGGGTAGTGGTTCATCATTATTAATGATCTATGAAGGCTTCTCTGAATTGTGTTGACCTTTCCTCACAGTTGCATCTTAAGGCATTCAATCTCAAAACATTATATGATAACATCTAAAATTGAAGAAGAAGATATAATTCCACTTTAATTTATCAAGGAGAAAATCTATTCCAGATGCAGTCCATCAGTTTCTCTTACCTGATATAGGACAGAACTTGGTCTCTTGCCCGTTCTAATCACTGGCAAAAGGAAATGAAATTTCCAAGGCAAATTTAGAGAGTGCGGATAAATTATTAATAGCAGATTGGGCAAAGGGTGGTGGACAGAGGAATATAGTCCAAATAGGTAGCACTTACTGATTTCTGTGGCAGAATTCAAGTAACCAATGCAATTTCACTCTGAATTGGTAAGAAATGCATAGAATAAGTTCTTATGAGCTGATATAAATAAGTTCTAACAAACCACTGGACTTAGGACAGTTATCATTTAATTTTTATGACTAGTTACTACACAAATGAAATCAAAGTTTTATTAGTCAAAAAATCAAACAAAAAGAAGAAAGGAAGGAAGGAAGGAAGGAGGGAAGGAGGAAAGAAAAGAAGGAAGAAATGGTTATTCAGTAGACATCCAAGCATATTTGTCCAAAATGCTGAGTGGCTCCATTGCTCTCATTCCTGTGCCTTCATCAACATTCATGCCTTGGTTTAGCCAGGGCTCCAGTGATTCTTGTAGCATCATAATTTTTAGCATCTGTTCCCACAGATGATAGCTTCTTCTCTCAGCATTTTCCAGTCAAATAAATGAGAAAGAAACTAACTGACCCTGTGTATCTTGTTAGTATCAAACTAGAAGTGCTGGGTTGAAGATCACAGGCCAATCAATAGATGGGTCACATTTTTTTTTCAAACTGCTAATCATGGTTCATATAGCTATGATGAGGGCTGTCAAAATCTGGCAGCTTGTGTGCAGGGCAGATTTTTCTTAGAAAAAGCTTTATGTTTTTCTAATGGTGAATGACTTCACTGATATGCCTTTAGGATGATCTTTTATAGAGAAATGCTGTTTTACTCATGCTCTGGTCCATCTTATTGTGAGGTAGATTTACCAACAATCCAGTATAAAGATTTGAATTATGAATTACCTATGAAAAATTATGGTTATTAAATTTTTGTATACATTTCTCCTTTTTCTTGGGCATTTTTTTTCAGCAGACAATAATAATGTTTGATTCTTTTTATCTTTTTATATGAAAAAAGAATCAGAACCCCGAAAAGACACCCATTTTCTCCTGACTCAGTTTTAAAAGTTTGTGGATCTCCACATTAAAATATGAATCAAAATTAAAATCTAAAAACCATTGAAAGGATTATTGGATTTCAGAATATTATTTTATTGTCATTAGCACAGGTGGAAATCACAAGTGGTAAAAAGTTTGCTTCTGGTCATGTTTTAGAGTGATCAGATGGTCCAATATTGACTATAGCTCTTGAAATAAGGGTATCTATAATGCCAAATGTCTTTAATTAATCTAGTGCAGTCCTAAATATAGAACTAGAATTGATGATTTTAAAATCATGTTTATACCATCACCAGATTTCTCATAATATAGAAGTCAAGGTACCTATTTTCAGAAGTGATATTTGGGCTATTTTGTTTTCTGCTATACATAGTGAAGTCTAAACCTAAGTGCAGTTTCTTCTTGTAAACCTTAAGGAATATAGCCTTCTCATCAATTTATTATATATGTTAAAATTTTACATGTAAAAGTAAAATTCAACAATGAACCAAAATATCATTTTCAAAAGCAATATGATGTTTGGCAAGTTATAGTCTCTGAAGATGAATTATTCAAAAAGGCTCTTTTCAGTTTAATGTTTTTATGGAATAGTATCAGTATCTTCTTCAAATAAAAAAATATTCTTCCAAATGCATTTGCCCCCAACTTCTTGTCATCATTGACAACAGGATTTCCCCCCAAACCATTCACTATGCCCTTTATTATCTGAAAATGCATATAACAAACTGTCAGAAGCACTTCTCTGAAGATTCTTTGAGCACATTGGGATCTATCCTAATTATAGACAGAGGATGAGATGAGAGGAGATTTAAGAAACTCTTTCTTATCAGTCAGATATGGTGCCTGGAATTCCCAATAATATTTATTTACACGAGAACATAAAACATTAGTATCTCTGTTTAAATGAAAATTTAGAAGAGGAAATAATAAATGCATCTGCTTTTTGAGCTATTAAATTAATTTACTTATAGTAAGCTATAAACTTTGATAAAAAAGGGGGGATTGTTTGAACCATAAGAACTACTCAACAATTTCTAAGACCTGAATAAATATTTGAGTTTGTGAAGATATAGTCTTTCTTTCATTCCTTTAGTCATTCATTCAATATTTTTTGCACAATTTTAAGTGCTGAGTCTGATGAACAGCATGGGAGATTGACAAATGGGTAAAAAGTTAGTAGAAGAGATAATTTGTAAGTAAGTTGTGGCAATGGGAATTGTTGAACAGATAGAATCCATGATGAATGGAGGTAGCCACTGATAATGTTTTAGAAGTTTCTGAAACAAAGATTGTCCACTTATTGATTAGAATTAGCACTTCTATGTCTTTACTGTAAAAAGTGTTCCTTGAATAACATCTTACCGAGTGATAGTATTAAAGGGTACTTGAAAATCTCCTTAGTTCTTTATCCTCAATTTAACTTAAAAATGTCAAGTTTATCTTATACCCACTGTTACCATTCTGATTCAAGCTAATATATTT